TAGAAGAAACGTCTTGATAAAATCACGAACTAAAAGTCGTTGCGGTCGAATGAAACATTCAGTGTAATCGGTTTGAGAATTCATAAATCGTTAGTTGACATTACTAAAAAATTTCAAGATGAGGTGCAATATCTACCCAGTGTAACTTGTTTTCATTGATTTCACCATACAATGTCAGTTCATAGTGTAAACAATTTGAAAACCTAATATTTTTGAATATAACATATCGTAGACTGATACCAATTGAAGTACTACTGATCCTTGGATATCTGTTTATCTTCATGATCCCATAAGAGATCAAATCTATGACCTATAGGTTTCAAAATAAGAATGGGACATTTAGACCACTGATTAAAGGTGATGTATTTCAGCTTCGCTTTTAACTTTTTCCAACTCAATAAAACCACGCAAAACACATTTCAAAGAACTCTAAAATTGATGTATTTATTTTTATCATTTGTCTATTTATACAGGATAGTTTATTTTCTTTCATATGAAAAGATAACCTGTTGCCTTGAAAATAATATAACTAGTTTCAAAGATATAAATCAACTTAAGAGGATGAAGATTTCCTATAGGTTTTGCCTAATTATGATAAATATCTGAATTATTCAAAAAACAACATTTCACCATTATTGATGGATCATGATGATTAATATGAGATTTCAGTAATCAAATGCAGTAACATAGATTAGATGTATCGATTTGAAACTATCCAATTAAATGATTACAGTTGCTTAGAAAACTATTTTAATTTTACTAATGAACTATATCCAAGTTCCGATACTAGATTTTGAACTACACTTATTGACTGGAAACATGTGATAGCGATCGAGTAATCGCATAATCTGTAAGTGAAAAGAGATTGTGAAAATTCTTTTCGTGATATGAGACGTCCTTTTAACTTAAGCTTTTAATTTATCAATTATAAAAACTGAAATCTTTCATGAATTATTCTAGTTGAGGAGTAATTCCGAACTTTGGATACCTTGTTGATCACCGAATGCACGTGTTGAAGTTTCTATGTTATCCTTTTGTGATTTCTTGAATTATAGTTATGAAAAATCACAAACTTAGGTAGGAAAAGATTATTTGTATTATAAACAGTTACCATAATGAATTTTTTGGTGAAAATATGGTTTTTTCAGCTGTTCATCTTTTCCTGATCTTTCAGCCTTTGATTAGCTTCCTTATGATTATCAATTGTTACTTTACATTCCTTCACATCAAAATTCTATTTCTTAAGTATGATTATCAACCCGAGCCAGTTCGTAAGAAAAAAAGGAATGCTCATTCATATTTTACTTCATTCACTGTGGTACGTACATTCTCTTCATAGTTCAATATTTTCAGTATAAATGGTATGTACAATGATTATTGGTTTAATAATAATGTGTTTTGAACTGTATTATCAACAGTGTCATCATCAGAAATAATAAAGAATGACTGTAGACTAGTAGTGTTGATAAACATCATCTGATATCTTCAAGGACAACATAGCGTTGTTGGAGCAACCCACTAAAATTACAATGTTGTATATTACTTTAGATTTTACCAGATGATATTTGAAGAAAAAAATTAAATCTCCCAGTTGTTATTGGTTAACACAACAATGTGCTTTCATAATAAAAACGCATACCTACGTCATATCTAGATTTTTACTGACCTAGATTTTGTCCAAATGTAAAATCACGAAGAGTAATACATGTGGGAATAAGTGAACCCGATTACGACTGCCAGTTAAAAATAAATTTTTCACAGTGCACATTACATTAACGTGATTTTATTACCTCTGTTATTATTATTACTACCCCAAGTACTGATAATTAGATTTAAAAGTTCGCTTGTTCAGTGTTACTCATCATCATTCAGAGATATAAAGCTTTTTAAACTAATGGTGAAGATTTGTAGCTCAACTAGATGCTTTTAGTAATATTCCATTCTCCGCATGAGGTAGGAGCTCATGATTCTGGACAGAACGATGGTGAAATCGCCCCAATTAAATCATCTAGTTCAAAGCAAACAACACAAACAGAATGCTGTTTCGAAGCTGAATATTATAGCTTCTATCGGATACATAAAATGTGGTTAGCAGTGGTATCTAGAATACGAGTTTCGCTATATTTGGGACTCCACAGTTGGATGCACCTTAATTCTAAAGTTAGTGTTCACAAAGACTGGTCAAAATTCACTCAAAATATAAACCGCGAGATAATTAGAAATATTACAAATTGGATGAATATTATGGTACTAATCATCCCATGATCACCTAGTCACTCACTACTATATTTGCAACATAAAAACAATGTTGGTAATGGTACATAACATTTAAAACAAAATAAATCTCATTTACAGTAAAATAAAAAATATACATAGTAGAATATCAAATTGGAAAATACATATTCAGTGAACAATTAGCTTAACCGCTTGTTAATAACATTTAACATATGAAATTATTTGTTACAAATCTAGACACTACTAAAATTGATATCAGCGATTATTTCATAAAATCTTCATTTTACCAAATAAGAGCGAATTAAAATTGATCCAACTACTGTCAGTGTACTAGTTATTACAAAATTTAGGAACTGATTAATTTCATTTGGTGAGATTACTACACAAACACCTATTTGAGAAATTTTGTTTATTTTACAATACAGTTTAGTCGTATACATTTAGGTATGTGTCATAATCGAAGTGACTTAATACAATACTGAAATGATTTGGTCGAAATGACATCGCTAACAGAACAGATCTTTAAAACGTAATATAGAATACAGACTCTCTAGCTGATTTACAGAGTGTGTGAAAATCTACTGACAAACTAAAGCGGCTATGTGTTTTCATGACATTCAACCGCTATAGCATAACTTAGCTAATTAACAGACTACTGGTAATTAATTAAAGGAAACGATAAGAATCATAAGGATATTTACATTTAATTTTATGAAGCATAGTGTTCTAACAAATAAATATTCACACATTATTTTGTCAGGTCAACTATTATAAGATAACTCAACCACATGAGACTCCCCTTATAAGGTCTGCTTAAGTTATCGTTTTCAATTATATAAACGCTAACAGCGTTTCCATATCGTAAATCGGAACAATTAGTATGGTGTAAGGAAATGGTATGTTTATATAGATAAAATTTAATGTGGTGCATATTAATGACTGTAATTGTAGTTCCTCACACAGTAAACGGACTAGATACAGCAAAAACTCAAAAGTAATCAGTCTTAGTGCATTCGATTGTTACAGATTATCTTTTGGTGGTCGGTATTCAAAATAATCATTAAACTTCGTATACAGCTCGTCTTGTTTACCGTTCTATATAACGCCCCAACGGTATATTAATCAGAAGGCGAATACGAAACGTTGATTACGTTTGTTACGAGACCACACACATATATCCAAATGTGCAGATGCGTTAAACGAGCATAGAAGATTTGTGCCAAAAGGCAAGCATGCGATCGAGCGAATATGAGTAAGCGATTACAATCAAGCGAGCGAGAGAGTACTGAATATGAATAACATGGACATATATATACCTAGTGAAATGAATGAGTCATCGAATCAAATAAGCGGTTAGTAGTAAGACTAGCAGAGTGAATAAATGCGTAGGCAGTAAGCAATATTCAAGCATACGTATTTCATACAAGCACAAAATAATAAGGGTACAATAAATTGTTATAGTGCGGATGACTTTGTCCGCTAAATAAGTTAGAGAAAGAGCTTAACTGAGTTAAATGAGAATAAACTCAATTGCACGTGAGTCGCTATAATCTACTATATTAGCATACTGTAATTTCACCAAATAAAAATACACCAAGTCAGTTTATTTTTGTAGGTGAAATATCTACGTCCCAAATCTTATATACAGCTTTCCCACTATAAGAAATTACAGAATTTTAACTGATTCCCATAGATAGTTCGTGACTGATCTCCAGAAGTCATACAGAAAAGCCAGTGAACTTAGCCACGTCAAAAGTAACAGTTATCTCTGATGACAATAGTTACAGATCTCAATGCACAAGTTGATTGGGATTGAAGATGTGAATCGTTAGATTTTGCCTCAGTGATCGATATGTATTGTCCATACTGAGATCTGAAAGTTCTGAGCATGATAACAGAGAGGATTGCGGGTGTTTGTTCTTAACGAGTCCCAAAGTAGGGTTCGACAGAAGTTCAATGGTCAGCAGTTTTCTTATAAAAATATGGTAATCATGTCACAAACTAATCACTAGATGATCATTAAGTGGATGATCGTTTACTAGTGCAAACATTTTGCCAGATATGGGATTAGAATTCTCCAACTGCTTTAGTAAACAATTATCCTTATTATAAGCTGTTACAACAAATTAACCACAGGTTGCCACTAAAATTCTGGAAGTTCTATCAATAAAATGAGTAACTAGCGAGTAATGAGCTTCAAAGATTTAATTTACATGGAAATAACTTATTGGAACCATTTATTAGGATCTTCCTGGCCCTTTTACCACCAATTAGCTTAACTGATATCCTATTTTTAGCATTAAATCTCCGACAAATTCATGAATTCAATAATCATAAACACAATTTCTCAAACTATTGCAAGAATATCCATTTGTAAAAGGATATATATATATGAAACAAGCTTTAAAATAATGGGGAATGAAAGGCTATTGATTTCGGATCAACTATGAGTGAGAATGATCCAACTTGAATGAAGAAAGTTTGATTAATTTCAGTTCAATAGAATAACGACACTATCTTGAAAATAAAGAATTCGTAAATGCGTAGTTATTTACAAGCATAACATTTTAACATGGATCAGTGACTTATTTTACTATCATTAATAATAGTAATAATCTACTGACTGTTTGATACACAATACAAAGGAACTAGAATACTAGTCATAAGTTAGAATTAGATTCAAACTTATGACTACTATACAAAAAGCATATGTCTAATAGATAACTGTTTAAGTTAAAAGTTAAAGTAGTCTTTGTATGATATAATTAAGAAATATGAGCTTGTTCTATCATTGCTTCTGTAAACTGAGTTGTAGATGAACAACCACCGATATCAGAAGTTAATGCTTTCTTAGATTTAATAATTTTAAGTAAAGCTGTTTCAATTTTATTGGCATAACTTTCTAAATTGATATGACGTAATAAATTTGAGCTGGCTAATAGAATCGCTGTTGGATTAGCCATATTTTTGCCTGATGCCACATTGAATGAATGTCTAGTGCCCGGTTCAAAAACAGCAAACTAAGAAAACAACAAAGAGGAATAAGATTTTAAAATGAAATAAGTCACTGAAAATATTCGAATATTGTTAAACTCTAAGTTTTGAATTCATAATTAATATTATTCAAAGAAATCCACTAAAATACTACGCAGCATTGGCTTCATTTTCGAAAGAATATAAAGAATATAAAATAAATATTGTAACTATTCTATTCTAATATTTGGATTCCTATTAACGATATATTTTACGCCCGTACAAAGTGAATTCCATATTCAATGGTTCAATAGGTAAACAAACAAATTGTAATGACTACTAACTAATATATTTATGTAAAACGTACAGTTCATTCGACGAACTATGAATACGCTGTCATCGCTCTTCTCCTATGAGCATACTTATCAATAAAGTCTAATAATAAATGTTAATCAATCAAATACCAAACCTTGAGTACATATAGCTGTTTTATTTGAGTAAATACGTTTTCTTGTATACGCACTATTTCACTTGTAGTTGAACTAAATATTAATTTTACTCTAGAAAAGTCACATACTCTACAAAATCCTTAGCAAATGTAAACTGCTAAGTTTGAGCTCATAATAATAATCTTTACGTGCAATACACCTCCTTGGTCAACGAAATATCATGATGGTTGAAAATAATTGAGCAGAACCCAAAGGGTTCAACTTTTATAAACATTAAAATCTATTCCACAGATACCAAATAAATTTAGGTTAACAAATTACAATCATGTTGCTGAATAAATTGTATACAAGTCCCAAAGTATGTGGGAATTCACTTTCAGAGTACCATATCATCACCATTTAAAAGTATAAAATATAGATGACGGCTTCGAAATATATTTCCAACTACCATAGTGACTAGCACCAGCAAATCACATAAAATGAATAAGTATTTGAAACTCAAACTAACTTCATGACTATATGATACACCCGGTACAACCCCAGCACCACCAACCAAACCAGCAGCAAGATTATCAACAATGTTACCATATAGGTTTGGCATAACCATCACATCAAATTGTTCAGGATTACTGACCAGTTGCATACAACAATTATCTATAATCATTGAATTAAACTGAATATGTGGATAAAGTTTGGCCATATTTTGGCAAGTTTCGAGAAATAAACCATCACTTAATTTCCTGAATAAAAAAATTAACAAAAGAATATTGAAAATACGGTAGCAATATATTTATTGGACTTTTGTTTAGATAAATACTGAAATTAAACATACAAGTACGTTTAAAAATGTATATCACAAAGGTATGCTATCCACTAAACCCTGTTTGCCTCACTTTTGACTTCCATGTTTAATAACTGTAGAACCCTTCAGACCAACAGGCTGAAACAGGTGAATCACTTAAGAAACCGCTACCTCGCCAGTGGAGCCCACCGTAAGATTTTAGCTGACAAGACAGTGTATATATGTCCTTATGGTACACAATGACCTAAATAAATACATATGGTATTCTTTCTCTCATAATCCTTAAATCTGTTTGGACTACTAAATTGGATATTAGGCTTTATAAACCCTTTTGACGAAGTCTATGTGTTCCTGTGTCCGTTTTGTCTAATTGTGAGGACTTAGAGTTAGTAGTCCACCTTTTGTTTCGGTCGTCAGTATGAGCCTAGACTAGTGTCTGATAAAACAACTTTAGCTACCAGCTTGACTTATTGATAAGAAGAAATTGTCAGTTCCTGAATCAAAGTACTAAGATAGTTGAACGTATCGACCGATTTACTTATCTTGTTACGAGTTCAGAAGGCTCTGTTGGCTTTTCCCAACTTGTATCACTTGTGGAGTAAGTAAAATGTCACTCTCTCAACCAAAGAATGAGTTTACTATGCAATAGTTCGCACCGTTCCACTTTATGGTTATGGGACGTAGCTACTAAGAACAGAGGATAGCCGTAATTCACTAGTATTCGATCATAGATGCCTTCGAAATATTGGTCGCATATTTTGGGACCACTGGGGAAGCAATACCTGGATTAAGAATAGGGTATTACATAAGTGTAAAAAAGAGCAATAGACGGAGGAAATCTATATTTATTGTAAGAGGTTAAAAAGCGTCTAGATAATACATATTCACAGCATTTTTCGGTGTTCTTTAGTCTCAACTATCTTCTCATTTGGTCTACGTGGGTTTCGCCTACGCCGTGCTTTCGCCATACTGAAACTCTTCACTCCATCCAACAACATTGACGCTACCTTCCACAACATAATATTTACGAGCAATCTTGTGAGTAGCATCCACTACATAATGATAGCAAATCGATTGGTGACGTAGTATATCTTCATCAACTTAAGCGGTTGGGATATGAGTTACATACGCCTAATCATTCCCTAACCTCGACGGAGGATGTTGTTTGGTGTAGCAGTAAACTGGAAGAAAAACAGGAGCAGCCAAACCGAAACATGGTATCCGTCCACGAAGTCAATGACAACTGGACTGAGCCATACTAATAAGTGTAAACTACCTGGTTGGGGTCTGCGTGACAAACGCAACCAGTAGTTAGAGACTTAGAAGGGCGTGGCTCAAAATCATTTGCAATCGCCCAAGTGCATCCAATCTTTGTATTCTCTCAAACTCTGAAATTTTAAATTCCTCATAACCTTTTTCACAAATTTATGTCTTCTTAAACTGTATCTTCGATGTCTAATCTTTTCTACTACCACTGAGATCGTTACTACCTCTACTACTCTGGGATTTGGCGTATTAAGATACATCTTCCAATTGTTCATAACGAGGAATAATAGTAATATATTTTAAAATATAACACTTATCACCTTATCTTTGTATATCGTTTACAAAAAATAAGGTATAAGTGCACGTTTTGAACACTGACCACTTAATACTGTCAAAACATTTGGAAGTAAATACATAAATATAAATGAAAACTTACATAATGTTAGCTTTATGAACAGCAGTAACTTTCCTACGCTTATTGCGGACAGCATAATCAAATGCAAATTTTGCAATTCGTTCAGAGTTACTTCGTGTTATAATTTTTAAAGACTCAATTACGCCCTTAACAGATTCATGTTCCAGTGACGAATACTCTCCTTCTATCTGTTCACGTATGATGACTAAATCAAGATTTTGATGAAAGCTTGGGATCCCTTTCAACGTACGAATGTGAACAACGTTGGCAAACAGATCCAAAGCTCGTCTACAACAAATAAACAAAACAATAAAAAGTACGATTTATCACCAAAGTAGACACTCTCGAAAAGAATGCTTTGTAAAAATGCATCAGCTATCATATGAAATGTACAAATATTTATGGATGAAACTGCAAATATTCAGAACATTTGAAAACACGAAAACATTTTCTTCCTATTTCTTATTATCATGTGTAGTCAGTATAGACAACAAACCACCTTAAAACAATAAGTTTTTTTCCCAATAATTGCTTGGTGCAGAAGTTGAAGAGAAAAAAATTATTTTCACTTTCACATGTTACTTTTGCTTAATTAACTACTACCAAATGCCTGAAAAGCGACTTTTTAAATTAACACAAAAATAGTGATTAAAGTGTCGTGTATTCTATTAAACTATGGTACTCGTGTGGAGTCACAAGGAAAAGCTAAATGAAAAGTATTTCCATAACTAGTTTGTGATTTTCCAAGATAAAAATGGAAATTTAAAACCAGCTGAAATGTTATTGTAAGTACTAAAATAACAAGAGTAGTAATAGCTATGATTATTCCCTGAAATATGGTGACATTTCACCAAATATTTATTCATTGACATTAAGTAACTAGATATTTTAGCAAACAACAAAAGCTAGACAGATTACTTGTGGAGCTTTCAGGGGTCACAATAACTCCAAAATTCTCATCCTGAGCTAAAAATATTATCCATCACCTCAAAATGACAATAGCATGCCTTACTGACGTTAATTAAACCTCAGGAACTTCACCAACAAAAAAGAACAAGTAACTTACGAATCGAAAACGACAAGTTTGGAAAGACCAGCAAATTTACCTTGGTGCTTGATGACAATGCAAATTTGGTATTTTTATTAAACTAACTACAAGGAATTCTTCAGAAATAATGAGTATCAGTAAGACAAGATTAAAATATATACTTGGTGCCAGAATTGACATAAAACTATCTACAGAAAAAAAATCAAATTGTATTACATAAATAATATATTCAAAAGTTACGAGAAAGCTTCCGCTATCTTGCATTTAGTAAAATGATTCTCATAATGAACAAGTATGGAAGGAAACCACTTTATATACAGTTCCCATTTATTCAACAAATTCTCATACCAAGTAATCCAACAAATAGTCGAGTCTATACTTAAGGCATTTTTTAGTCTAAAAACGCTTTAAGAAATAAGACCAAATATTTTTCATCTTTTGGCTATCAGTACAGACAATTACTTTACATAAAATATGATAATGAAAAAAAGCTTATTGGTTCAGTCCAAAACAAACTGTTGTCAAAATTTACTGTTCACAATAGAGGTACAAACTTCAATATTGTAAACACGGCAGAAAAACGGATAAATTGAAAAATATAGATCTTACTTGATCAGAAACAAAGACATACCTCATTCTTAGGTTAAGTGCACTAGATCCCTGAGTTTCGACAGGTGTACGGACAATTCCTTTTAAACCGACCTTGTTTTTAGTAACAGAGTTGACAGCATTATAGAGACCACCATTTGGATCTAAATTATTGTTAAATCTGGGGGAATCAAACAGGATACCAATCTATTTCTTACCCAAATTTCACCTCCTCAAACTGAACAGGTACATTGAATTCTTTGAAAACTGACTTTACACAAACGAAGAGTTCTGGCCACACCCCATCACCAGGTAGGAGAGTAACAGTCTTCTTTTCCTCAGCATTTGATGAAGTACCCTGAATTGTACAAGAAATTAGAAAAGCAATATAATGACGATGTCCAAAAAGACGAAGAATGCTTCACGACTAAACTGTCCAGTTTAAAGAACGAAACCACGCCAAAATTATCTACTCGAAGAACAAATATTATCGCCCATCTCAGAACTCTGGTTTTCAGCTCAAAACCCCTATTTTAAAAAGGTTGGTACCTCTTCTTTTTTCGATTAGTTTTTCCAGTCTTGACCTTTTTTAAGTATTAAAGCCTACTGTTTTTGCTCTCATTGAATTCAGTTAAGAAATCCGGAATACCAGATTTTGTGATAGTTTTCATCTTGTACTCATTAATCTGATAGTTTAATTATAAATTGATGTATTTTCCCAACAAGTTTAAGTTCAATACAAGTTTTTATGACACAAATTAATATCTTTTGAGCGATGGTTACGAAAACGTGCTATCAACAACCGTGTTATTTTCCATGGGAAAAAGCTGCGTATACTACGTTAAGACTAGAGGCTAGTACCCTAACTTTTGGACAGATTTCACATCCGAAGCCTTTAAAAGGTTTAGCAAGGCAGGATGCATTCGAATGTGCAAAACTGCTGCTCAAACACCTGTCGCATGTCACTTATAAGTGTTCCCAAGAAGTATATAGCTCAGACAAATAGAACCGAACCAAATAAAAATAAGACTGCAACGAGACTGCTTCCACTGATAAGCAAACTAACAGGACTGATAATCGGAGATACAAAAAGGTCCTAATAATATGAATAATACAAAACTGCTCCCCATCCAACCATTACAAAAGACTGAATGGGAAGTAGTGAAATAGATGGAGAGCACTTGACGTCATTTATGAAAGGCTGTCTTACTTGTAGTTAAGAAACATAAGAGTGATCATAAAATCGAGGAGTAAGGATTTAAGTTTGAAAATTCGCTTCCAATAAGTGGGAGAAATTAGGATGACACAATAACTCATTTCCTCCTAAAGTTACCGGAATCACTATCCTTAAGATTTATAGGTTACGCAGTCGATCAACAGATTAAGGGTCAAACAGGACATAATTACGGAAGGTAATGTTCAAACCTGAATAAGAAAGACTTAATACTGAGAAATAAACAAACTACAATAAACTGGTGAGCATGTGCTTAAAGATATGTCACTTACCATAAGAATAAAGAGACCTGAACAAAAAAGGACTCAATTTGGGTTTAGAAGTGGCATAATAAATCCAATAGTAGAGGATTTCCAGGTAGCAAAAGGGGTTTATCAGTGAAAGAAGTCACTTCTGCTGGTCTTAAGCTAGCGCCTTCGATTCGTTTGACAGGACTGTTTTCTGGAACTGTCTATTGAAGAAGGGTGTGCCTGAGAAGTTCATTAACATCCTAAAGGCCCTATATACAAACACCCCAAAGAGAGTGACGGCATATAATCACCTTTCTCCATTGTTCTATTCAAGCAGTGGGGTTAGACATGGTTGCTCAATCTCACAATTCCTCTTCAACTTTGCCATCGATGACATTCTGGAAACAGCTTTCATGGGTGTAAGTAATGGCGGTGTGGATCTGTTGCCTGGAGAAAAGCTTCTCGACCTTGGGTATATGGATGATATTGTCTTACTTTGCGATAATACCCAAGCCATGCAATCCGCACCTAATCAGTTGGCAGTTAGTGTCCGTAGGTATGGTATGTGTTTCGCACCTTCGAAGTGCAAAGTACTTCTACAAGACTGGCAGGATTCCAATCCTGTACTCACCCTGGATGGTGAGCAAATAGAAGTAGTCGAAAAGTTCGTGTATCTAGGTAGCTGCATAAGTGCTGGTGGGGGTGTGAGTGATGAGATCAATGCACGTATAGTGAACGCCAGAGCGGCTTATGCCAATCTGGGACACCTTTGGCGCCTTCGTGATATCAGTCTGTCTGTAAAAGGTCGAATCTACAACGCGTCGGTGAGAGCAGTTTTGCTCTATACTTGTGAAACCTGGCCTCTCCGAGTTGAGGATGTTTGACCATCGCTGTCTTCGAAGGATTGCTGACATCCAGTGGCAACACCATCTTAGTAATGGAGAGGTTCGCCATCGTGTGTTCGGGTGCAGAGACGATAATCCAACTGGTGCCACTATCTTGAAACATCGACTTCGGTGGCTTGGGCATGTTTTCCGAATGTCGTCCCAGAGAATTCCACGTCGAGCATTATTTGCCGACACTGGGACTGGTTGGGAAAAGCGGAGATGTGGACGATATAGTGCGAAGGCATGAAAGAAAACTATACAGAACTGGCTTCTGTTGGTCCTTCACGACTCTAGTTGAGGACCTAAAGATAATGCAACACAATGACTTGAGACGTTATAAAACATGGTTCAGAATAGAAACCAGTGGCGATACTGTTGTAAATTTCTTGATAAAAGTATATGTAACCTCTTTGACTAGAAGAATTGTTTCTGGTTAGTTTCATTTCATATGAACTGCTTCTCTCATTATTACTATTTCACTTTCATACGCTAATTTCTGTTTATTGTTCTTTTTTATGACATTTCCTTTTTTATCTCTTTACAACCTCATTCTTATTGCGTGGTACATCAATATTTGGTTCCTCTCATTCCAATGTTTGTATTCGAAGTAATGAAAATTTGAAAGAAAACGTTTAGTGACAAGCAATCATTACATACTAGAGACCAGTAGCTGCTAAAGGTTTTGGGACTCTTAAAAGGATATGTAGAGCATCCGCTCGCTTGGAAATTAAGACACCGGAATCTCAGCCTTTTTATCTTAGAAACTGATAAGTTAGCCCATGACTCATCGATACGGTTGAAGAAAGTTGGGATGGTTACAGCTCTAATAGTTTACAAAACGACTAACTACTGACAAACTAAGCCGCTCCGTCTTAAAAACGGCTTAAAACAGAACCATATATAACGTGATAGTCATTGATACCTACATGTGGAAAAAGACCAAAAACAATAGTGAACCGGTCAAAATACCATGATTTATTTTGCTACTAGGAAGAGATGCTTAAAACAATAACTTAGTACATCACAGTTACACATCTCCATGTTGAAGTAAAGAATATGCACGTGCCGGATAGTTAAGTAAGCAGAAAATGACATGTGGACTGAAACTGAGGAGTCGTAGTGTTTAAGGAAACGTGGAGACGATGGTAACTTTTAGAAGCCAAAACTGTAGGTAAAACACAGCTGGTTAGCAAGTCACTGGAAAAGACGGTATCAAAAACAAAAACTCCACTGCGTGTCAAGACAGATCTCTCTGAGAGGTCAGTCACTTTTCATAAGTCAAGAGAATCTTCCGATAAGGAACCAACGGCTAGATTTGAACACGACCTCAGTCATATTAAGTCCTTAATAAGCAAACTATTCCCAGATACAGTTTCAGGAGTTAGTATTTATAAGCTTTATAGAATAGGACAAAAGGTGGATTCTGAAATTCCTCAGAAAAACCGCCTCTTGACGGTTATATTTGCCACGGTTGAAGAAAGGAACCTAATTCTAGAAAACTCACGTAAACTGATTGGGTCCGGAATATACGTCTGTGAGGATCTAAGTCTAGCTGGCCGTATTAAGAGACGAGCTGCAGAAGTGGAAATAAATGAGCGTCGCCGAAACTGTGAAAGAAACCTCGTTCTGAAGGGTTGTCAAATTGTAAAAGTTCGGAGCAAAACGATCCCCAAACGACTCTGGATGTTAAGGGAAAGTTCTCCACAGAATTAAAGGTATGCTACACAAATGGTTGCAGTCTACTAAAAAAATGGCGGGGCTCAAGTCAATGGTGGATAAAAAAACCCGGATGTTATTGCTACCTCGGAAACTTGGTTAACGTCAGAAGTATTAGATAATGAAATTCAGTTGACTGGTTTTTTAACCAGTAGGGCTGATAGATTAAACTGTAGGGGAGACGGAGTTATCCTGTACACGAAAAGTACCCTAAGAGTACCCATAAGAGTAGCTGAGACAGTGGCACGTGTTTCAGGGACATGTAAACTGGTGCGATGTAAGCTGAAATGTAGACGGCAAGTTATTGTATTAGTTGCAGTATATCCCAGTCTAGAATGTGTAGCAGATGATTTTCTCCTAAGTAAACTTAAGTCCTGGTGTAACAAGGGTAAAAGCATTGTAGTAGGCGACTTTAATGCACCGTATATAAACTGGGTTTACTTAGAAGTAGGGTCATCGATAACGTCGTTCAATTGCAAACTGTCAGAAACCTCGATTGGATTGGTTTTATTCCAACACATTAGAAACCCCACAAGATATGACTTAAGAAACTCCTCTTCTCCTTTACATTTAGTCTTCACACACGGTGATGACGTTGGTCAAATGACTTTTTTCCAACCACTAGGGAGAGGTGACCATGCAATCATCTTATTCAAATTCATTGCTGAGATTGCCTGTCAAACAGTTGCGCCGGCCGGTCCTAATATATGAAAGGCAGATATGAAGGCGATCAACTCCACAGCATCGGCTGAAAACTGGGAAATTGACTCAAATGCATCAGTACAAGAGGCATGAACTCTTTACAGGCAGTTATACAATCGGGTAACACAACAATACATACCCTGGACAGTTCCAAAGAAGAAGAAACACGGCCATCCCTGGATAGGCCGGGATATTCAACGTTTATTAAGACAAAAGAAGAAATGTTGGGATGTTGCCATCCGCCTTGGCACAGCAGGTACGATGGAACGCTACAGAACGGTAAGAAACAAGTGTATAACAAAAATTCGGGAAGCTCAAAGAAAATATGAAATGCAGTTGGCACAATCTGCACTCAAGCAACCCAAGAGAATATTCTCGTACATAAACTACAGAACAATGATGCATCATTGGATTCCCAACCTAATTAAAGAAGGGAGTTAATCTGAAATGACAGAGGAAGATCAGGAAGAAGCAGAGGCTATGGCTGACTATTTTGTGGCAGTTTTCACTCAGGAACCTCCTCTAGAGAAAGAACCAGACTCAAATACAGAGTCAACGAACCAGCTGTTCACCGTGGACCTCGACCAAAACAATGTGCTTAAGGCTCTTAGCACCCTAAACATGGAGAAGTCAACAGGACCAGATGAACTACACCCCAAAATCTTGAAACATATGGCCCAATATATCGCGGCCCCACTGACTGTGATATTCAATATGTCACTTGACCAAGGTGTGTTACCTATGGACTGGAAGGACGCAATCGTCACTCCCATACATAAAACAGGACCAAGACAAGATTCATAGAACTACAGAACTGCAAGCCTCACCAGTGTTGTGTTTAAAATATTGGAAAGAATAGTCAAACGGACCATAATGGCATTTAAGGAAACCAATAACTTGCTAAACAAAGAAAATGATTTTTGAAAGTGTCCATCTGGTACAACGAACCTCCTTAAACCAAGGGAGTTTTGGATAAACGCACTAGACAACGGAAACTCAGTGGATGTTGTCTACATACACTTAAGTAAGGCTTTTGACAAGTTGCCAATTAATAGAATGCCATAAAAATTCGAAAACCTTGGTAATGTCGGACATCTTTTAAAATGGATTAAGGATTTCCTAGTAGGTCGTAGACAGAATAAAAATAAATTCAAAGTGCTCCATCTGAAGACCAGTACTTAGTGGGGTACCTCAAGATTCCGTCCTAGGTCCTTTACTCTTTATAATGTATGTTAATGATCTTCCAAGTATAGTACAGTCTCCAATGTTGTTATACGCTGGCGGTGTAAAGATCTGGCGAGTAATAACTGGAGACAGACGCATGTGCTCTTCAGGCGGACTTAAATAATATGATTAACTGGTCTAAAGAGTGGCTGATGCCTATTACTCGTGGTCTGGTCTCATAAGGATCTAAGGGTGACAGTGAGTCATGTTCTTAAGATGACAGCCCATTGCCTGGAGGTCGCAGCCTAGGGGTTTCCAACCTTCTGGGCTTTAAAACGGACATTTACTAAGTTATATAGTACCATGTTCACCACAGTATACACATCCTTAGTGAGAAATAAGCTTGAGAACTGCGTTCAGGCTGCAAGTCCCTGTTTAAAAGGCGGTCCAGATATCCTAGAAAAAGTACAGAAGGCAGTCGCTAGTGCAATTCCAGAACTCCGGGGTTCACCATACAAAGAGCGGCTTGAAACGCTGGACCTATTTACTCTGTCCTATCGCAGATTAAGAGAAGATCTAATTTTGATGTACAAAATACTGAGAAATGCTTTCGGACCTAACTCATTCTCTCTTTTTCCTCCCACTAGATCGGGACATCTCAGAGGACAAAGCGGGCGAGTAGAAAAGCCAAGAACGAACAAAATACTCGTGGCATACAGGTTTTCACATCGAGTCATCAATACTTGGACCCTGCTGCCCGAAACAGTGGTGTCCGCACCTTCAATTGACTCTTTCAATAGAAGACTGGACACTCCCAGAAGCATACTAGAAAAGGAATAACATAGGTCGTAGGCCTTCTGTCTTTACTACACAAATCTGAATCCCGAGCATCCAATTTTGGGGAAACTTCCGAAGTCAAATGGCCTTCCTAAAATTTCCCCAAAATGTGCCAAATTTTCCCTAAAATTGGGAGCTCGTGATCTGACCATTAATTTGCCGATTTTGGGAAAATTTCGGGTTTTTTCTCACAGTTTAGGGGAAAATTTTGAGGGTTTTGTGCCATTTCTTCAGAAATGCACCAAAGCTTTACATAGCGGCTTTCCCGGAATTACACTTTCGGTGGCCCGTAGTCCTGCCGTCGTTTAGATCGAACGATGTTGTCGAACGGGCTCACCATTTTTGTGGAGGCCCGTAGTTTGATTTTGTCTGCCTATAAATATTGAGTAACGCTTGACAAAAATAGAGTTGGCCTCCCAGCCATCTTCCCTGCGTGTCATTTTTCTTTGTTCTGTTTCATTCGCTTCATATACAAAATATATGTATTCACAAGTCAATTCTCGTTATTCGACTTATTTAATTCCGTTATTGACTAACGCGATTCAAGTGGACGATGATATACGAGAATAGGCTATAGCAAACATCCATATGATCTAATCCATATGATCAATTGAAGCAGGCAATTATCCAACGTACCTCATTATCGGATGAAAAGAGATTACAACAATTACTGCACGAATGTGAGCTAGGCGACAAGTCACCGTCTCAATTATTACGCCACATGAGACAATTGGCCGGCCCTTATAAATTTGATGATGCTTTCCTCAAGGAGATTTGGCTACAACGTTTGCCAACAGTAGTTAGGCAAATTCTTTGCGTTTTTAGCCAACCATTAGATTTAGAAAGTCTTGCTAGCATGGCTGATAAAATTCTAGAAATTACACCCTGTACTACACCTTACGTACAGACAATATCAGAAACTTCGAACGACAAGAAAACTCCTACCATAGCATCGTTAACTGCTGAGTTAGGCGAACTACGAGCACATCACGAACGAGCTGTTGCCAGTCTTGAAAATAAACTAGATGCATTAAAATTATTAATCTCCAATTTCACATCTACAAGACCTCGCTCTAATTCTCGGGGGAGTAAGAATCGAGATAACTCAAAAAGAAATAAAAACAACGACCCATTTTTGTGGCCCGTGGATCTGACTCCTATTTAGATCATATGGATGTTTGCTATCGCCTATTCTCGTATATCATCGTCCACTTGAATCGCGTTAGTCAATAACGGAATTAAATAAGTCGAATAACGAGAATTGACTTGTGAATACATATATTTTGTATATGAAGCGAATGAAACAGAACAAAGAAAAATGACACGCAGGGAAGATGGCTGGGAGGCCAACTCCATTTTTGTCAAGCGTTACTCAATATTTATAGGCAGACAAAATCAAACTACAGACATGTTGTGAGTCATGGAATATGATGCGTACACACATATACGCTGATATAAAAAGTCTAGATTGATAAGCGAATAATTAACAAGGTCAAAATATGACTCAAGTAGAATGAATAGGATGGAATGTCCGAAAGCTAGAATAAGATATATAGGCCTAAAATAATGACTGACACTACACACTAAAACAGAAAAAATTTCCCCAAAATAGGAGATTCGATCGTTACAGTTGCCGTGACCTGCGGTATGCCAACAGACAGGAATGAAATATATGAGGAATAAATTTGACTGCATATGTAAACTTATAAGTTTATATATTAATATTTGGAAAAACTGTAAGATTGGGTCATTGTTAAGTAACACAGTACTAAATGTCACTTACGAGATGTAACTGCTTAGCATGTTTAGTGAGAGACACAAATCCCGTTTTGTTAGCCTAGAATAGTGTCAGTAAACTACAGTCCAACTACCAAGATTGTTGAGGTCAAACCCCGGAATAGCATCACTAGTCAATTTATCAAAAACCAGAGTTAGGTTATGACCTTGACCCGAATAACCTTCAACGTTATAAGAAACGCGGAAATGCAAATATGTACGCTGAGTTCACATGGAAGCATAGGAGATTCGCTTAATGTATGTGGACGTAGCACCAAAAGATACCAGTAGATTGTTTATGTTGGCTTCGATACATTTCACCTCTGAGACTTTTTCAGATTTGTGTAGTAAAGACAGAAGGCCTACGGCCTATGTTATTCCTCTTCTAGTATGCTTCTGGGAGTGTCCAGTCTTCTATTGAAAGAGTCAATTGAAGGTGCGGACACCACTGTTTCGGGCAGCAGGGTCCAAGTATTGATGACTCGATGTGAAAACCTGTATGCCACGAGTATTTTGTTCGTTCTTGGCTTTTCTACTCGCCCGCTTTGTCCTCTGAGATGTCCCGATCTAGTGGGAGGAAAAAGAGAGAATGAGTTAGGTCCGAAATCATTTCTCAGTATTTTGTACATCAAAATTAGATCTTCTCTTAATCTGCGATAGGACAGAGTAAATAGGTCCAGCGTTTCAAGCCGCTCTTTGTATGGTGAACCCCGGAGTTCTGGAATTGCACTAGCGACTGCCTTCTGTACTTTTTCTAGGATATCTGGACCGCCTTTTAAACAGGGACTTGCAGCCTGAACGCAGTTCTCAAGCTTATTTCTCACTAAGGATGTGTATACTGTGGTGAACATGGTACTATATAACTTAGTGAATGTCCGTTTTAAAGCCCAGGGGGTTGGAAACCCCTAGGCTGCGACCTCCAGGCAATGGGCTGTCATCTTAAGAACATGACTCACTGTCACCCTTAGATCCTTATGAGACCAGACCACGAGTAATAGGCATCAGCCACTCTTTAGACCAGTTACTCATATTATTTAAGTCCGCCTGAAGAGCACATGCGTCTGTCTCCAGTTATTACTCGCCAGATCTTTACACCGCCAGCGTATAACAACATTGGAGACTGTACTATACTTGGAAGATCATTAACATACATTATAAAGAGTAAAGGACCTAGGACGGAATCTTGAGGTACCCCACTAAGTACTGGTCTTCAGATGGAGTACTTTGAATTTATTTTTACTTTCCGTCTACGACTCACTTTACAATAATATCTTTAAAAGTCTGTGTCTTTTTACTCGTGTTTGGCTTGATTTCCTATCTTTGATTTTTTCAACTCGCCGAATCCATATTTTGATTTCTATGCTCTTCGATTTTCATACTGAGCACGGAAGGATTATGGTCACTTAGGGGTAGTTGAGAAGATTATGTTTCATTGAAGTCAAGAATCTATAACCGTTAGGCCATTGTTGGTCGGTTTAACTTATAAGGGGAGAATGTTTGTATGGAACCGTTAGTTTCACTTTTAGTACAGCCGGTACACTGGATAATATATGCCCATACAAAACTGGTGCTCAAATATTGTCTCCTGAATTAATTTGAAGACAAACAATGAAGAAACCAATAATGGTTGGGAGGCATGAAGTAGAAATAGTACTCATGGTTTCGAAACTATGTATCTATGATAAATTTATTGGTGGTGTTGAATGGTGAGGAAGTGGGATGAGCTATCTAGTGTCTTGGGCAAATTAAATGAGGTGCTACCCTGGAAGGAAATTACCTAAAAATCAGTAAAACAATATGCGAAAGAGGTTTTAAAAATGACAGCAGCACCAGGAGTATGAATATCAGTTTAAATGAAGACACTGGGGCATGGATTGGCAACTGATTACGTTTCAATCCTTTGTTTCACGCACCTTTTTTGATTACTAATCTGACTATAATTCGCACATCACATCCACTCGGCGTACAACAAAATAGATTTTCCCTGATAACAATCCCTGCCTTTTTCTTTAGTTAAATTTCTAAATGTTTCGTCGGAATAGACTCAGATACCAGTGTTGTTGAATTTTCCCGTGTTTGAGTCCTCTTGATCATATTCACGCGACCGCATATCTAGAATCGACAAACTCAATTTATTAGGCCATAAATTTGAACACTTGGTGCTACATAATAATTATTTTGAGGATCCCTTTAAAATGAACCGTTTGACAATATTGCCACTTCCTGAATTATTTTCGTTTTGTATGAACACTTCGATCAGTGAGTTGTGTAACCATGTTTTCAAAGTTTATAGTCTTCTTTGATGAAACTCCTTTTATATGACTTTGATTAGGATCAGCCATCATAATTTAATTTCATTTTTATGTGTTCCAGACTTTTGACAATGTGGTATAATTAGACTGAACCCAAGACTGCAGATATGGGCAGTTGATTAGTAATCTCACTCAACAGTTTACTGAAAAGGCTTTTTATTTTGTGGTTTCTTAAAAAAAGGGATTTGACCTAACATTATTTGAAATACACTTTGTATTGTTTTGCTTTTACCTTCCCATTGAGGTTTAAGCTTTTATGAGCAAAGTGAATTTAAGTTCACCTCATTGCACAAACAAGTGACTATCAGGACTCAGTGGCTGAGTGGATAACGGGATGGCGTTTGAAACGAATGGTACTGGATTCGAGTCCCAGAGTGAACATCAACTCTGAGACGCAGGTTCATCCAGCTGAAGAGCCCCAACTGGGACGAAACGCTCGTCCTGGATTCCACTGCTACCCATTATCCATCTTTACTTATTGTTAGAAATAATCCTGATAATTTTCGGGTACCTGACAAATGTATTTATGTGTCACTATTTGGTGTCCAGTAAATTACGTTGTGCTAGAATGTCTTTTCACTGTATAGTGGCCAACGAGCAGTGCAAAAGCATGTTATGTTTTGAGATAATCTATTCTTATTAACTTAATAACGTAAATATAATATGCATATAATACGTGTTTTCGTTTTATCGTTGATTACAATCATTCAAAGAAGCTTCATATCTTGTCTAGAACCATACAAGGAAGAACACAGATATTTTGCTTAACTGAATAAATATTGTTTTCGAAGGATGTTTCTACTTTCATACCAATTATTTGAATTTTGAGTGACACAATCAATCCATTCTTATTTAACTACACGGAATTGGAGTTAACAGATCCAGAGGTGACCAAAACCATAGTATTTAGTCACAGAACCCGAAGTCAGAGGCTTGTATTGTCTGAGACGGACGAATCTCATAGTCTAGTCCGCAATACCTCTTTCGACCGAAAGAAAAAGTGTTTGGGCCTCTAGATAATGTTCCTTATAGCTGAAGTGAAAAACGGGTTATTGATTGTGTGGTACATCTTGGTCATTACCTCCAGTTCACATATCCAAAAAGTGAAACGTTGTTCTCTCAGCAGACCTACCGACTGCTTTTAAGCGCATAATATAAGGATCTCATTCAGAAGATTCTCAAACTCACCTCTATGCTCCACTTTATGTGAGCTTATGAATCACCCGAAATGGATAGACAAGTAAATGCTAACGTGACCAGAAAACAAAAGATGTATTTAGAACAAATCCCTAACTACTCGTCGAGCAATGACTGAGTAAAAATACAGCTAAGTTCGAAATCTGAGTTCACTGGACATCACAAAGTTTTGTGTTGCATATGAGAACAAAGAATGATTCAAACAAAAACAGGAGCTGGATAAAGTGACGCGATTCCTTACATCATTATATCAAGTGAAAAGTCGGAAAGGTTGATAGGTGTTGACTCAGCAAAGGACAAAACTTTCTAGACAATGAAGGTTGAACGTCATATGTCTGTACTCCTCAGAAACTGGCTCCTGCTGTGAAAAGAATGGTCTCTCACTGGTTGAGTCACTAAAAATCTTCAAAGTCGGTTTTGTCTTTTTTATCATCACAGAAGGCTGCGCAAATGGTTTGAAGCTCTTGAACTGAATTCTATCGAAATCGAGGATAATTAAGATGATCCAGTTAATTGACGCCGTCGAAATGATTCACTTTGTACATGCTACAGTAGCAATCTCTTTATATCCAAATGTAAATATCCCTGATAACATTTCTGCTTACCAAAGTTATCGGCGAACTTAAACACCCCACTCATTAGATTAGGCTAGGACAGGGATGGAAATCATTGAGTTTTACGACGTCAATGTAAGTTAAAGTGAATTTGGAAGCCATTTTGTGCCAAATAACTCTAGCGAATTCAGATTGTTGGTTATATGACATAAGAAAGCACTATAAAGATGTCATAGATATTCAGGATTTGGCAGCGCCTAAATATGAGACAATAAAAGTTGGGGAAACCCAAAAACCGCCAAACCGGTATGCAGGAATGGAGGAGTACGAGGACAATACAGGTCCTATTAATATTTGCAATCATATGTGAGGAGTAATATACCCCATACCTTTATGATCAATATACCCCAAAAAATATCAAACAAACTGAGTAACCAACCACAATGAAGGCTGTATCTTCTGTAACAATTTGATCTTACCTGTAAATTGGCATGCCTCATGTAACAAACTGTTATTTGAGAATAAATTATGATTATTATGACTATTATTATACTCAGAAGATATTCGATATATCCATGGGTTTTTGCCTCAAGCTGGCTGGTCGTTTTCAAGGTCACGTAGCATGGCAGGCCTATGTTGATTTATGGAGTTTGTAGTGGCATTGGACAATAGCCACACAATCCACAAAGCTGTGAACACGAGACTACTCAGAAAATAGATATTCAATATTTAACTCGGGGAAATACCTAAAAATGGAGAAGGCGCGAACAATGAATTGAATGGACTGGGGTTGATCGAGTGGCATGGCTCGGCCATGCAGGCGTGGTCTCTATTCATATTAAATATATTGTTCTTTCTCTAAACTAACCTTCTTATTCATCATGTATTGGTAATTGATACGATACAGTGAGTTGGCGTAGTCGATGGTGTGACTTCCACGTAAGATCTTATAGATTAGGCAGTTATATCATGACAAATCTACAATTTCAGGATTAGGTCTATTATTAGAGCAGTACTAATATCGTAGTAGACCATAATTCTACATTGGTGAGCCCAACTAAAGAA